TTTGCTTTGCACACTAGATATTAAGCAAAAAACGTTAAACAATACAGTTGCAAACTCTCTTCATGGCTCTGCAAGTGAAGATATGAGAGGCAAACATGTGCCTAGTAACAAAACCCTAGACACAGTCATCGAAAATTTACGAAAATATATACAGCAATTACCAGCATTACCCTCACACTATCGCAGGAAAAATAGTATAAGAACGTATTTGCCCCAGGAATTCAGAAATATAACAAACTTATATCGAATTTACAAAGAGAATCAAGAGAAAAATGGCTTACAGTACGTAGGAAAAAAGGTGTTCAAAAAAGTTTTCACTATTGAGTTTAACATAAGATTTCATTTCCCCCGAAAAGACAAGTGTTTGAAATGTACACAATTTGAGAATGACAAAAACATTGACGAAGAAGAAAAACGGAAACATTTGAAGGACAAAGAAGAAACAACTGAAAGATTCAAAGCACATCAGGATTATCATAAAAAGGATGATACTATTTTATGTACAACTTTTGACCTAAAAAAAGTCTTGAATACGCCTCACGGTGAAAATATGATGCTTTATTATAGCCGCAAATTAGCAGTGTACAATTTAACTTTTTATGAATCAGGCACAAGAAATGGGTTTTGTTACACATGGTCTGAAATTGACGGGAAAAGAGGAGCCAATGAAGTATCTTCAATTTTACAGAAGTACGTCAACGATGTGGATCAAAGGGGTACAATAAAACATTTGTTACTTTACTGTGATTCGTGCCCAGGACAAAATAAAAATAAAACAGTTTTAGCTTGCTTAAATGCAACTCTCCAAAATTGTAACAATCTTTTATCGATACACATAAACTACTTGCTTCCTGGGCATACATATATGCCAGTAGATTCAGTTCATTCCATTATTGAAAAAAGCTTAAGTGGCGTTATAATTTGGGCACCTTCACAGTGGAGTACAGTTTTCACCTTGGCTAGGAAGTCACCCTATGAAGTAGAGGTTCTTAAATATACTGACTTTTATAAATGGGACATAATTGCAAATAAATACTTCGAGGGAAATTTGGCCGGTAAAATAAGCAAACTAAGAACGGTAACATTTAAAAAATCGACTACAAATATGGCTTATGTAAAATTTTCTATCAATCCTGATGCGGAAACTGAACAAATTGAAATCACGAAAAAAAAAAAACGACGTCGTCCAACTGAAAGCATGTTACAAATCGTTGCTGCCAGTATCTAAAAAAAATACATGGATCTCAACAAATTGTGTACCAACAGAGTCATACCAGCGATGTATCATGAAGAGTACAACAGGTTGAAATATGCTAATAATATTCAAGACTGTTTAACTGATACAGATATGGAAGACGAAGAAACTGCCGAATAATGGGATGGCCATATACTTCATCTACTTTATTTTTCTTTGTTTTTTTTACCTACTTGTTATTATGAGAAAAACTCAGAGGAAGATTTAGTTATTTATAACAATTGATGAGATTTATTATGACTACACTAATACCTTAATCAATAGAATTGTTTTTTGTTTTACCGTAGGAGTTATAGTTGTTTTATAATTTATCATAAGTCTATTTTTTTTATTGTTAAAGACTGAAATTAAACATTGCCACTCAATTTTAGCTTGTGTTATGATTTAGATTATATTAAGCGGAGTATGATTAGCGTAAGAATAATCCAAAAATAAGAAGAAGATAAAACTATTTTGTTAAGCTAATTTTATTTACTGATATTAGTGGTTCTATGAAATGACAAGTTTGTCAAATAATTGAAATTTTTTATTGTGATTTAGGTATACTAAAAAATGTTCCTTAATCATTTAAATAAACGGTTACTTTGGTAATATCATCTGTATTTTATTTGAATAATTACGACTGCGTCCAATAACTACGTGGTAAATAATTTGGTACGGGCTGGACGCATGTGGTAGGTGCATAGTTTTTCATGTTAGCCTGGATGGGACCTTTAAGCCTAAGAAAAAAATCGTTTAGTTAATATTAATAGAAGTTGTAACGTAATTTCCAAGTATCTAATTATTTTACTAAGGGATACTTCAATATATTGGATAGCCGTCTTTTTAAATCAATTAAATTCATCAGTATTTTTAATGTAAGTATTCAATGTGTCATTAGTCTCTTACGTCGTTTATACCATAAATAATTACGGCAAACTCACTGTTTAGGCCCAAATATGTTCATTTTGACGGCGCACAATCGCGTCGAACTAGAATCGTCCGACGGTGTTAGGTGTAACGCGTGCCGCGAGGAGAGGGGCATCGATGGATCGCTTCCCAGCGTTTTCGAGTTAGTGGGCGACTAGAGTAGCTGGACAGCAGCGATGCGCTTAGGTTGTTGCGTTTTGTTGAACGCTGCAGAAGTTTCGCTCGACCGGGTTTTTGGGGTTACGGTCTAGAATTTTGAAATTTGTGTGCGTTACTTCGCTACTGAATTTGGTTTTGTGGAAGCCGCCTCAGTTTTGTTTGTCCACGGGTACGGTCGAGACAAAAGGCTTCAAAGGAATTTGACTGAGTAAAGTAATTTCATTGGAAGTAATTTCGTTTAATTATACCGTCGCGTTGGGAGCCTTTTGTAAGTTGACTCTGTAGCTAGTTTACGTGTCAGCTACGTTGATTTTGAGTTATGATTGGGGCTTGGTATTTGATATCGTACGAAATAATTTGACTTGTTGTTTGTAACGTCGAACTTTGTGACTCATGAAGAGATCGCGTTAGTTCCCTATTTGTGATTTGGTGATAACTGAATCCGGGGCATTGAATGTCGAATTTCGAACTACTGTCCTTACTGTGTCGGGTATCACGTGTTCGATTTTACGATGAATGTGGAATTAGGCGGGCTTAAGTTAGTTAAATGTACAATGAAGCTAATAGACTGAAATAGTGACAATGAAGAAAGAAATGGTCCAGCGGTGGAGCCTGCTGGAGCGATGCAGCATTGTGGGGCATCCTGGAACTCGGCCGCTGCTATTCGCCTAAGTTGGTCAAGATCTCAGACATTTACACATCACTGAACACTACTTGCCATTCACCTTACACCCACTCACGGCCTGACCGAGCCTTGGGGCGGTCTTAGATTCGGATCCAGGTACGTACAGTATGTGTTTCTAGCACTCTCCCATATAGTTTATTATGATAGGAAATTATTCCATATAGCCTCTCGGGCTCGAACCCGCGGCCGCCCTTTGAATATTCCGCTCATGGGCCCCGGATATTGAACCTTGCAGGGGCAGCTGCGGGCCGTAACACTCACTTTAAAGAAATTGTGGTTAACTTAGTAAATTATCTGATCACCCCTTAAGTCCTAGTGCTAGACATGTGAAAATGGAAAATATGTCCTGGAAGTAATTTTTCTTCACCAGCATATCAGCATAGTTATATTAAAAGAAAATTTATAGTACTCTTACTCCTTTATGGTATGTGTTATCGGTACGTTTAAATTGCAAAGAAAGTTTAACTTAAAAATGAGGTCATATTACTTATCCACCACTTATTTCCCAAAAGAGCCTTCAGATTATCATACAAGATATAAATAAAAATAAAAAATTGGAAAAGGTTTACATATCAAGTTATTTGATTGAAATCGGATGATAAATTAAAAAGATACGATTTTTTTTGTTGAAAAAATAAATATAAATAGCTTTTTCTCAAAATGATTTTTTGGTGTTCCAGTAATTTTGCGTTTCCAGTGACGATATAAATATTTAGTGAACCGAAATTTTAACAGTTATAATTTTATCTAACAAAGATATTACACGTGGTAATAATAATAATAAATAAAACTATACGAGTAAAATTGATAACATCCTCTCCAAAATATACTCTTAAAAGAGTATCAACATTCTGTAAAAAAATAAATAGAATGGATAAGAACTGTCCTGTATAGTAAAGATCAAGATTCATAATACAACATGACATGTAACATGTTATGTTGTATCTGATATACAAAGAGATTTAATATATATATATATATATATATATATATATATATATACTACTTAAATGTCTTTGCTGATATATTACAGTCTATCAAAAGTGCATTTAACATAGGTATATAATATAGACCATAGGCTGGCATATGCAAGATATTTGCCATAGTTACTACTTTATAGATGTTGAGGTTGTTACTTAAAATAAAAATAAATTATTATGTCAAATACTTGGCGGTAAGGATAAAATAAAAATTCTCGCAAAAAAGTGGCATCGTGACTTTAACTTTGCTTTTCGTGAAAAAAAAATCCGCTTTTTAGATATTTTTTTATTATAATGTAATCGACCCACTACTTTCGAAGAAATCGTTATTTTTTGTACATAGAGTGTAGACTCTATGTATATTTTACTTTTTATAAAGGAATTAAGATATAAAAATCTTCATTCGTCAATAAACAGTAATATATATATATATATATATATATATATATATATATATATATATATATATATATATATATATATATATATATATACTACTTAAAAGTCTTTGCTGATATATTACAGTCTATCAAAAGTGCATTTAATATAGGTATATAATATAGACCATAGACTGGCATATGCAAGATATTTGCCATAGTTACTACTTTATAGATGTTGAGGTTGTTACTCATCTCATGTGAGTGTGATCCTCCAAAAAATGATATGGGGTGGTGGATTTATCCTTACCCTGCAAATACACGGACATCGTATATGATATAGTTTAAATGTTAATTGCACACGGATTTTATAGTACTTGACTATCAAGCTGAGGCGCCTGAGATTAAATCACAGCTGTAGTCTTGTCTTATTTTAGGTTATTTGTCCTGGTGGAAGGTTGGTGGGAAGCAGTTAGAGACTTATACTGCTTCCTAGCGTACACACCAAGCGTTACACGGGTAGATTAGACGGCCACTTAGTATTCGAAAGTTGTTGCAGTGGTCGATTTCAACCAGGATAAAATTATTATCATAATTTTATCTATGTAATATTTTATAAGTCACGTTATACTTACTTTCCACGTTCTACGAAGTCATATATCATGGTGTCGCAAAATAATATTAGTAGTATAACTACAAATATGTGGTAAATAGCTCTTATGTGAAGAGATCCTTCAACGAGTGCCGTTAAAGGCGATTCTCGAAGCATAAATTCTTGTTTTGGTTTTTTATCATCGTTTTGCTTAGTGAAGCCATTTTGTAGGATAATCTCTTTCTTGCGCCTGCGCAGATAGTCTGTTTCCATTTGTGCCATTCTCTGAAAGAAAGATAGCATTGTAAAAAATAAGCTTAGTAATTATATTTTATTAGTGGTGGCCTAGTGGTCGAAATTCGACCGTAATTCATTAATTTTTAAGTTTTATGTATTAAGAAAGCTGTATTTTACCATCAACTGTATATCAATATAATATACAACACAGATAACTAATGTACATAATGTGTAATAAACGATTTTTTGCCTTGACATACACACACTATTGAAAAAAGAAAAAGTTGTAAATTTTGTGTGTTTGAAATCACACAAAATTTACAGCTTTTTCAGTTAATCTGTAATTATTTGTTGGCAACATTTTAAAATCTTTGCCGACAATCTCAGTTAAGTGTTTGACATTGGCCTTAAAGTATAATGACATAAAGAATTCGACAGTCAATCATAATCATAGTATGATAAATTTATCCAAAATTTTAAATATATTTGAGAATTACATGTTTGATATTGGCAGTGTGTTAATGTTAATTTAATGTATTTATCACAAACATCACACATTTCTACACAACTTCTCCGTATAAACTTTAACGTGCGAGCAGTATGCTTAAAAACATAAAATTATGAAAGTTTACCGTAGGGGATTAAATTATCGGACCATTTTCTTAAGATGCCCTGGAAGAGGCTCTCGCGATTAACTTACGATCGACTGATGCTGAAAAATTCTTCTCAATTTTGAATCTAAATCTACGATTGTCGTTTTCTACCAATACGAATTTTATGTGGCAGGGGTTTCAATTCGCTGAGCAACCAGTGAAATTTTTTAAGACAGCAGCCGATCGTTATTCAAGGTGTCCAACGGACTTAGCCAGTAGTGTAGCTATACTGTATTTTATTTTATTTTATTCAGGATAACAATAGCTTATTAATACTTAAACATTTTTACTTTAATTATTAAACACGAAAAAGCCAATAATAGTTATCCACAAAGTAAATAACCAAACATAACACTGTAAATCTACAAAACAAATTCGGTAAGCACTAATACTAAGCATTAACAAATTAATTGAAATATTAATATTACATTCATGATGTACATACATATACACATAAACATATATACACATACAAAAGACGCACATAATAAAACTTACAAACACACATATGAATATATAAATGCAGATATATTTTGATTATTATAATAGAAAATAGATAAAAATTGAAGAGACACAAATAGCGAGCGAGACATAAATACACATACAACATACATGTATACATTTTAATGATGAAAGAATAACAGTATTAAACGAGGGAACAAATAATAGTTTTGGTACTATTTTAATTAGAATTTACTGATTACTTTCAGCTGGAGTGAATAAAAACTTGTTAATTTTATTTTTGAATCTACTTTTAGTACTATTAAAAGGATCAATTGAGCTAAATTTTTTGTCGTAAGTACCAAACGCGTTAGAACTCCGTTTTTCCTATAATTGGTCGAGTGAAAGGGGATGTAAAACAAAGAGTTTCTGGTATGTCTGGTACGTTTCATTGGGACCTTAAATTTGATGTAGGCCAATAATTCAGGGCAGTCAATTCCTGCGTGTAATATATCGAATAACCATCCCAAGTTCCATATCCAGCAGAGTACGTCTTTCTTCAAGCATTAACAGGCCGTAAAATCTGCAATCATCTCTTTATGTAGAGTCAGAACGTCTAAATTTATAATTTAAATGGGAAATGAACTTATTTTGAATCCTTTCGATAGTATGAACATGTTTAGCATAAAATGGTGACCATATCTGAGAGGAATACACTAATATAAATCTGACATATGTGAAATATACTAATTTTAGGCTCTGTAAATTAGAGAAAGGAAGACAAGTTCTAGTTACAAATCCTAAATTACGAAAAGCTTTACTGCAAATAGCATCAATATGCTTATTGATTGTCATGCGGGAGTCAAAATATACACCTAGATCGCGTACAACCGTAGCCCTCTCGATTACAACACCATTGAAATTGTATGGAAAAACTATGGGATTAGTTTTCCACGTAAATGAAATACTCTGACACTTACCAATATTTACCGTGATTTTATTAGCGGCATAGTAATAGTATAATGCATTTAAGTAATTTTGAATTAGTTCACAGTCCTTGATAGTGCGTACATGCAGATATATCTTCTTATCATCAGCATAAAGTATTTGTTGAGAATTTTTTATATATTGGCATATATCGTAAATATAGGCGTTGTAAAAGAGAGGACCAAGGTGGGAGCCTTGAGGAACGCCAGAGGGAACCGTTACGAAATCTGACCTGTAACCGCCTAGAACCACAGCCTGAGAACGGTTAGTCAAATAAGATCTAATCCGTCTCAGTAAGTCCCCATGAATACCGAGAGACTGCAGCTTCTGAAGAAGTATGACGTGATCCACACAGTCGAAGGCTTTTTCGAAATCAATCTGTGTAGATCACATCAACTCAAGTTGACATGATCCACCTTCCATTTCTTTAAGAACATAATTAGTGAAACTTGCAAGATTGGAAATAGTAGAACGCTTTTTCAGAAAACTATGTTGCGTACTCGGAATGCGTCTAACTATTTTAGCATAAATTTTATTAAAAATAAGTCTCTCAAATATTTTGGGAATTGTACTGAGAATAGAAATTGGACGGTAATTATCAATTTTTGTTTTAGAACCTTTTTTATGAGCCGGTATTATATATGCCTTTTTCCAAAGTGTAGGAAACACACATTCTCTAAGGGAACTGTACTCGAGGATTGCTCTCCTACGCAGACTAGCGTGAGGACAGTCTATTACAGGGCATGGAAAACTTTAAAAAAATAATTCATGACCGAGCAAATACAGCCTCTGTGACGCTGTGGTCACTGTGGCTTAACATTAAGTTGCAGTGCTGAGGGCCGCTAGTTCAAATACAATAAATAAACTATTTAAAAACAATTTATTGACATTAATAATTGACATTGAATGTTATTACGATATTTTCTTATTCATGATTTTAATAAATTACAAGGTTATATCTTTATGTTAATTTTGTAATATTAAGTATTATGTACTTACATAATACATTAGAAAATATTTATTTTATAAAATACTCTTTATATTTTTCTTTGATTATATTAAAAAATAATTTTATGACGTAGCTAAATAAATATAAAAGCTGGTACATTATTGGTAATGGTATAATGTCGTCATCGTTTGAGATTATATCTTTTACTCACAAACGTAATTGAAGACATTATGATGTTTTTTTTTAAATGACATGTATTGTAAATTTTGAAATGTTCACCTTAATTTGTAATTAAAATTTGCTTATAATTTTAAAAATTGTCGAATATATTTATTAATATTTCTGAGCCAATCATGGCAGAATATGTACCGTAAAACATGGCAACTTGACCATATTTTTTGAGAAAAATCTAATTATTTCTTATTATTTATTGGGTGCTGAAACGTACAACTAGTTGTATATACTTATTATACATTTGGCCAACGTTTTCTGCATTTGGCATTTTCTAAAAACTAATAATTAAAATAGTAGAGAGTAATAAAGAATATGGGTAAAATTAACACATATGTGGCAATATTACCTACGCACAGTATTTCATAATACAATGCGTTTAGGATAATAAATTAGGTAAAGATGACCTAAATTACAACGCCAATTTTATAACGAAAAGATGAGTAGGAGGAAGTTGAGAAAAAGTCCACACTGGCATTAGATAAAGTTGCCAAGGTATTCAGGCAATTTACATATAAATATCTTTTACCGTACAGGGTTGTCAAAAAACAAAAACAAGAGATATTTTCTTTAATGGGTTTATATTTTTCAAACAAAAAATATTCTTAGGTTTAGTTTTTATACTTAATCTATTAACCTTAAAATTTTAAAATGCAAATTTAAAAATATTTTGTACTCAGGTTTTTCTTTTACAATCGAAATATCTATAAAATAAAATACAAATAACATAAAAATTGCTCAGGTTACAAGACGAGAGTAAGTTTAATTTAATCAACATAAACATTGTCTTCGTCATTCATAAGAACACACTCTTCAAGGTATTCTGATATTTGCAGTAGTTCTATAGGTTTTACTATAGCATTTTCAGGCAGATATTTATCTTCATCTGACCTCTTGGGAATAACAAACTTAATATGATCCTTGCAGCGTATTTGTTTATAGTGTGTAGCTGAATACATTTTTTTATATCTATTGATATTTTTGATTTACGTGAATAATATCTGCTCAAAATTGTATCTCCTTCATTCCGCCTAATTTCATTTTTCTCGGCCCTTTCCTGATGAATATTCATATGCTCTTCGTCAGAATTATCTTCTTCCTTTAGAGAATATTCTAAATTTTTTACTCTTAACTCAGTCTCATTACATATACCTTCCTGTTTATTTTTACTTCCTGTACATTTTTTTTGTTTTCACCATCTCAACAGCCAACTTCATCATTCCATTCGTGTATTTTTTATAGGGACTAGCCCCAAATTTTCTACGGTTGCGTTTCGTGATGGGGGGCATTTAGATTCTGAAACAAAAGTTAGGTATCTACTACATACCCATGCATAACCATATGGCATATATTTATATGCATATATATTTTTATATCGGAGCCGCACGCCTTCATATTATTACTACTCGTATTTTAATATATACAAACTTTTAGATTTCTTATCGCCATAATATTGTAACATACACACAAATCAGAAGTAAACTGATACCTACATGATTTTTGTCAACCCTAACTGTAGGTATAGTTGCCACGAAACAGTCAGTGGCAACTTTACCTAACCTCAAGTTACATTACCCATGCTGATATTTCAATAAGATGAGTAAATAGTAATAGCTGATAATAAAAACTGTAATCCTAACCATTTCTTACATGCAATATCAAAATATCACTTACCTTTGATACAAAGTTTAGGCTCTGTGAGTGCAATTTTACCAAAAAGTTTTAAACACGTCTTCACAGCTCCACACTTTGGAAAGCCATATTGACATAACTATCAATGTTACCAGTTGGAAAAATATAAAAAATGTTACCAAATGTTACCCTAAACTATGAAAAAATACTAGCATTATATACAAAGTTAGTTTATAAAGAGATTTTTAAAATAATTTACTTTAATTCAAATATAACGGTAAGATAATGTTACCAAGGGTTGTGTAAAGTTGCCACGTTTTACGGTAGTTAATCTATACAAATAAATAAAATTGAAGTGTCTGTTTGTAATGTCAAAATAACAGCTTATTACTAAATGCATATGAAAGTATATACGGTACTTACAACAAAAATACAATTTTTAAAATTTTTATCTGTCTGTTTATTCCGGCTAATCTCCGAAACGGCCGGACCGATTTCGGCGGGATTTTCACTAGCACATAGCTGATGTTATAAGGAGTAACCTAGGCTACTTATATTTTAGAAAAAGAATTAGGGTTCCGCGACATAATTAAAACCCTAAATTACGCGCGGTCGAAGTCGCGGGGTACAGCTAGTTATAAAATAAGAACGAATATGTAGTACCATATTCTGATAAATATATTATTAAAATTCACGGCACTGCGGCAAGTATAGCTTACAAATAGTTGTTCCGAATCTAGATGTTTGTCCCTATGCAATTTTTGTATGTAAAATGTCTTCATGATGCCACGATGAAAATATAATCACAGCACTTTCGTTTGCTTGATTATGCGGAATGAATAGGAGACAATCAAGCTGTAAGAAGAGCAAAAATCTGTCGATATTGGCCGATTTTCGGGTGCGACAGGGTGGACGTGACTTGTACGTCATTTAAGCTAGCGACAACGGGATAAAAACCGTAGTATGTTACCCAGTGGCGTAGCTGTGCAACCAAGGGCCCCGGGCCGAAAATGAAATTAGGGCTCTATTTGAACTAAACTAAATACTTTAAAGGTGCAAAACTACTTCATTGCCTACTGCCTACTACCTATTGTCCCTACCTATTGCCTACTGGCATGGCAGAGCATAATAAAGCAAAGCTACCATGTAGTATGTGTAATGCAGGAGATAATATTTAATCGTACTTCCGATCTATAAAACAGGATATCCTGAGTACCGCAGAACCTTTTTCAGAATTTTGTACAGCCGACTTCAATATAAGTTATTTAAGAATAACTTAAAAACTATTGGTCTGACCTTGATCAAATTCATATGGGACCACACGAGAAGTACCAGCTTTCAAATAAAAAAAGAATCATCGAAATCGGTTCACCCAGAAAAAAGTTCTGAGGTAACACACATAAAAAAAAAAAACGAAAAAAAAAAACATACAGTCGAATTGAGTACCGGCTCCTTTTTGGAAGTCGGCAGAAAAATGCAGACATTCCATCTTAGTCCTTAGGAATGACAATGTTCTTAATTGAAGATAAATATAGATGTCTATGGGCCACAGCATCCACTTACAATGAGTCCTTAGGGATAACAATGTGTTCTTAATTGAAGAAAGAAGTTGAAAGTCGGTGCATACATCATCATCATCATCATTACAGCCCTTCACAAGTTCACTGCTGAACATAGGCCTCCCTCAAGGAATGCCACAAAGCACGGTCCTGAGCCACCTGCATCCATCGACTTCCTGCATATCTTACCAGGTCGTCACTCCATCTAGTGGGGGGACGCCCAACACTTCGCCTGCCGGTACGAGGCTGCCACTCGAGAACCTTTCTTCCCCATCGGTTGTCGGTTCTTCGAGCTATATGGCTGGCCCATTGCCACTTTAGCTTACTAATCCGTTGGGCTATGTCGGTCACTCTGGTTCTACTGCGGATATCCTCATTTCTGAGTTTATCACGCAGAGAAACTCCGAGCATAGCCCTCTCCATAGCTACACAATTTATTGTTGTGGTGCGTACATTCAATAATAAATTTCACATTTTTAGTTCCTAAGAGCAGAAAAAAGAAAAAAGTTGCATCCTTTGTTCTAAAGGTCAAGAACTACATTGTAAGTGCTACGCTGTAACAGTACAGACTGATACATGGAGTACATTACTACCAGTACGTAAGCATCAACATTGGGCCCATCAATCAGCCTCAATGCGGTTAGAAACAGCAATTATTTCAAGAAATGCATTCTAGTTGTAGCACTAACGGATCTATGTGGACTAAATAGGCTGTTTTAAAGTTAAGTAATTAATTGTTTACTTACGGTTTTGAGTTAGAATATCAAAAGCTTACGGCGCTGATACTCGTGTTTTCACTTAATGTTTAAACACATTTATTTTATCGATTCAATTTTTAACTATATATATTGTACTACATTGTCTGTTATCTTACTAACCTTTTACATAAGATAACAACCTATATATAAAAGTGATAATTTAACAATTAATATTTTCGTCTGCTAAAATACGAAACGTTTATTTAGTTTTGTGAGCTTCACTTACGACAACACACTTCAACTAGTGCTTGTTTACACTTCACAAGATATTTGTTTATATTAGATGAATGAACATCAGATTATTACTTGACCTTCTTAGCAATTATATGTGGGTAGTTTAATAAATAACAGTCATATTTGTTCTAGCGTTAACTGCGAGCAGTCAAAGGGCGTGCGATTATTATAATGAGACTTGTTTGTTAACACGAGTGTACATTACATACTGTTGTTCATGACTATTCTCTGTAATGTGATTGTGTTGCTTTCTTTATCAATTTGTGACATGGCGCGATTGAAGTGCCAAGCGCATCAGTCGAGCTAACTGCTGTTGATTATATTGTTGATTATAGATTTTCCCTTGATAAATAATAATTACTATCAGTTGATTGATCGCTTGGTTACAATTTCGTTGTTAAATTATTATCTTTGTACAAATATTTAAATCGATATTTAAACCTTTGAACCTTAGAATAATACAAGTGTTAATGTCCTCTAGATTATATTTCGGTCATGGCGGCCAGTTTCAACGCCCTCTGCCTAGGGCAGGATTACAGTGCACGAGTTTGTGTGCAAGCCCAGATGTAGGTACATATTCCGACAGAACGGCAATTCATCACGACCGTAGAGAGAAAAGACATGAGTGTGAAACACTGCCAACTTTCTGGCTCTGGACTATGCTACTAAAATTTCTATTCAGAAAACCCAAGAACTGTTGTTAGACTTATCCGGTTAAAAACTCAGCATCTCATGATCGTGAATTTCGCTAACGAACGTTAGACCAACTTAAAATATAATTATATCAACTTGGACTTACTGATTTTAAATACAAATGTACCTAACGTCTTAAAAGTTGTTATACGTATAATTATATATAATAATACGCATAAAAACTCTAAAGAATAATTAATAGTATAATACACATATTCGATTTTTGAAACATTAAATAAAGCAATTTTAAAATTAAAGTACAACTTGTATACAATTCTTGTGCGATGATAAAAGGAACTTGTTTACTTGCATTTAAAATATAATATCTTCATTATCTTTATAGAAAACATCGTAAAGTAACAATATATCACCACATGTCGACAAACCGTAAATGTGTGCACTTCGTTCGTTGATGGTCTACGTATTTTCGATCTGAAAGATACGGATATGGTTACTCCACTATTTGTCGGATGGCAACTAATCGAGAATATAATGTGTTCTGTACCCGCAAAATTTGACTTAGGTAATAAGAAAAATCTATTCTTTGGGGAAATAAATTCCATTTTTAGATCGATGAATACCGATTCAAAACTCTAAGAAGTCCCTATTCTAAATCACGTTACAATTTTGTATAGCAGTAAGAATTTACATAAGGGATATTATAGGGGATTAATTATAATATTAAGGGATATTAGGGTTAATGATATTTTTAAACTTATTCATAGGTTAATAAATATTCAATGCAATCTGTACTATTATTGGCATGGGCTGGGTCTCAGATCATTGTTGTTGAAGTTTGTATGATTTTGTTACTTCAGATCGTTTAAAGGATATTGTTATTCATTGTCCTTGCAGATATTTATTACAATAGGAAAATAATATAAAAATATTCCACCTACATCCATCGATTTCTTGCATATCTTACCAGGTCGTCACTCCATCTAAAGGAGGGGACACCCCACACTTCGTCCATTAGTATGAGGCTGCCACTAGAAAACTTTTCTTTCCCATCGGTTGTCGGTGCTTCGAGCTATATGGCCGGCCAATTGCCACTTCAGCTTACTAACCCGTTATGTCGGTGACTCTGGTTTTACTGCAGTATCCTCATTTTTAATAAAACCCTAAAAATAGCCATCTATACTTCTCCTCATAGTTCACTAAACGACCTTGAGCTTCTTCATACGGCAAGCAGTGAAGGACCACGTTTCAGATCCATAACTCATCACTGGCAACACGCACTGGTTGTATAATCTTATTTTGAAGTTTTAAGATATTCCTAACGAGAAGATGTGCCACGATCTCCCGGATGCTGCCCAACCAAGTTGAATCCGTCGATTGACCTCTCGTTGGAAGTTGGACTTACCTAGTTGGACAATCTGTCCAAGGTAAACACACTTATCGACAACTTCGAGCGTGCTGTGCCCAACTACTACCAGCACCGGTGTAACATGGACGTCGCGCATGATCTTTGTTCTGTCCATGCTCATCTTATGACCGATCCGTTGGACGACATTATTGAGGTCATTCAGCATCGTGCTTAGGTAATCCAGCGATACTGCCATAAGATTTTTGCCAAAGATTCTGTCATAAAAACTTGCCGAAGGTTATGTAAGGCCGGGGAAAATGTTTCTTCATATTTTATATACAAATTCAAGACATTTTTTTCAAAGTTTTATTACATTTAATTAAAATATATATGTGCCATTTTCTTGGATAACTTGTTGCCATCTTGTAGGTTTAGTGGCATAATCCCATTACTGTAGAAATCTTGGGATTTTTGATCAAAAAAATGCGACAAGTAATTTTGACAGTTCTCTCTTGTTAACCTAACACTACCCAAATAGTTATGAAGAGACCTAAACAGGTGAAAATCTGAGTGTGCGATTCGTAAAAAAACCTCTGTCCTGAGAAGAACAATTAAGAAACCCAGGCGGATTATCTTTTTTTTTAAATAACACCTTACAGTCATGTATGTTATACAATTAACAACACAAAACAAATTAGAAATGGCTTGGGAGCCATTACCTCATACCCAGGGGTATTATCATCCATAAATTCCTTAATATTATAATACACTTTTTAGACACAATTTGTTTAATAGAGTTTTGGAACTTTGCGGAGGTTAAATTTTGTATATTTTCTGGGATTTTATTGTAAAAGCCATAAGAACATGGCCACAAGAATAAATAACTGACTCGGTGGAGTAACTGAACAAGACTACTAGCTTGTGTCTAGAATAGAATAGAATATAATGTTTTTTTATTAAATATTGATTATTACTTAGACTTATTCAAAGTCATTTCTTATTTACCACTGGTTCGGAAAATACCTCTGTCCTGGGAAGAACCAGCAAGAAACCCAACGGGAATTTTTAAACATATACAGGGTTTTTTTTTATACATATTTCACTTAACAATAATTTTGTTTATGGGGGTTATTTTCATTCATGTATTCCTTGACATTATAATAGCCCTTTTTGAAATGTTTTTCTTTAATAAAACTTTTAAATTTGTTTATTAACAAACATTGAACATGTTCTGGGATTTTGTAGTAAAAAGTATACATTGCTCCATAAATTAATTACTGATTCTGTGGAGTCTAGTAACTGGCATTATAAGCTTATGTTTGTTCCTAGTGTTTAAAGTATGAACATCCTTATTCTTATTTAACCTAGTTATGTTTTTATGTACATGCATTACATTTTCATAAATATATTGTGATGCAAAAGTTAATATGTTTATTTTTTTAAATTTTTCTCTGAGAGACTCTTTACAATTAAGGTTATAAAACGCCTGTGCGGTTCTTTTTTGCAAAACAAATATAGGTTCAATATCAGTCGCATAACCCCATAGCAAAATTCCATAAGACATTACGCTATGGAAGTAACTAAAATACACTAATCTAGTTGGTCTCAACATCTGTGAGAATTCTAATCTTTCTTACAGCTTATACTGCAGAACTAAGTCTGCTTGCTAATATAGGTATATGGGGGCCCCATTGAAGTTTCGCGTCAATAGTAATATCAAGAAAAACAGTGGTATCCACAAGACTCAACTTCTCCCTATTTAAGACCACATTGGTATTCGAATGTTTTACATTAGGTATTATAAATTTAATACATTTTTTTCTTATTGCCGTTTAAGATGAAATTTTTGGCGTTAAATCAATGGACTCATTTCGATAGAGCATTATTTACATCTTTATAATTAATTAACTGCCCTTTGAGTTTGAAAATTAAAGAAGTATCGTCAGCAAATAATACTATATCGTGATTATCCCCTACAAGATAAGGTAAGTCATTAATATAGATTAAGAACAGGAATGGGCCAAGAATGGAGCCCTAAAGAACGCCCATTGATACTACCGATCTGGAGGAACCTTTACCTTTGATCATGACTTTTTGAATTTTGTTACTTAAATATGAAGTAATAAGTCTAAGCGCAATTTATTTAACACCGTAATGTTGTAATTTCCTGATTAATGTCTCGTGATGCACACAATCGAAAGCCTTGGAAAGATCACAGAAAATACCTAAGGCATCTTGTGAATTCTCCTAGGCATTAAAAATATATTCCATAAGATCAACACCAGCGTCAGACGTCGAGCGACCCCTTGTAAAACCAAATTTGTTTTTGTACGTGGTAGAGCCATGCTGCAGCTATATTATTTGTATAGTTGTAGCACGAATGGGTTGGTTCGATCGGGGAAGGACCACGATCTCACAGAATACCAGCATCAAATAGCAGCTCAACACTGCTGTGTTTCGTATGGTGAGTGTAGAGAACCGGAGACCCTTTTTACTGGAAACGAGGCATTCCATCTTAGTCCTCACGGGTGACAACGCATCTGCATTTTGATTCGCAAACGAGGAAAAATCTAGACTTCTATGGGCCACAGCAGCCACTTACCATCAGGTGAACTGTGTGCTCGTTTGCCTATCCTATAAAAAAATTGGTTTTTATGAAGTAATTTATTTGTATTAAAAAAAATTACAATTGATCCAAAATTAATTTTTCAAAAATTTTACTGAGAGAAATAGGTCTAAAATTAGCGGGGTCCAATGTACTACCAGATTTAAATAAAAGTATTACTTTAATATACTTCATTAAATCAGGAAACACACTAGAATCGATACAACTATTAAAAATAATAGCAAGATGGGGTGCAATTAAATCTATTATGGACGCAATAATTGTAACGAAAATCCCCCACAGATCTGCTGTTTTCTTTACATCAATAGTTTTGAAGTATTTTACATTATCTTGCGGTAATACATTTTTTCAAATTTAAATTCTTTTAAACAGGTATTAACATTCAGTTTGAGTAATGACTCGGCGACAGTTGGAGAAGTATGCAATGACTCTGTTGTCAAGATAGGAGCATCAGTGAAATATTTCTCAAACACCGCTGCGACTTCTAGATTCAATTTAGTCAATTCATTGTTAATTA